ACCTTCATTATAAAAAATACAGATTTTTTAAAAGAAGAAAATTTAAATCACTAATATTCCAATTAATAGATTTATTTCACTTTTTATGCATATATTTTTAAAATATAAGTTCATACTTTATGTACTGTTTTATAACTTTTCTTCCCATTTAGCAAATTTATTTTATTTTATTTTATTTTTTAAGATTTTACTTATTTATTTGAGAGAGAGAGAGATTGAGAGGGGGAGGGTCAGCGGGAGAAGCAGACTCCCTGCCGAGCAGGGAGCCCGATGCGGGACTCGATCCCAGGACTCCAGGATCATGACCTGAGCCAAAGGCAGTCACGCAACCAACTGAGCCACCCAGGCACCCCCATTTAGCAGTAAATAGTTTTCTGTGTCATTTAACCCAGAGCTACGGTAATTATAGTGATTCCATATTATTCCATAGTAGAGTATTTGTTGTTAAAATCGTAATAGTTAACATTTACCATGGAATTAATACCTGACATGCACTATGTTAAGAGCACTCCATGTGTCATCTTTCAGTAACTGTATGGATTATAGACATTATCATCTCAGTTTTATAGCCAAGAAAACCGAGGATCAGAGAGGTTAGGCAACTTAGTCAAGTCACTCACACACTTAGCACGTTGCACAGACAGTATTAGGACTCTGGACTGACAGACTCCAGATTTCCTCATTTTAAGTGTTCTAATATACTCCTTCCCTTAAAAATGTATGTAATCAACTCATTTTTGATAATTATTTCCAATTATTCATATTTAAAAACAGTCTGGCAGGGCACCTCAGTGGCTCAGTCCGTTAAGGGGCTGCCTTCGGCCTAGGTCATTATCCCGGGGTCCTGGGATCGAGTCCTGCATCAGGCTCCCTCCTCAGCTGGGAGCCTGCTTCTCCCTCTGCCTCTGCCCTGCCCCCAGTTTATGCCCTCTTACTCTCTCTCTCTAATAAATAAAATCTTTAAAAAAAAAAAAAGTCTGGCAATGGACAACTTCATATATGTATGTGTGGGTATGGGTGTGTATGTGTGTATTTTCTAAACATTCATAATTATTAACATCAGATTAATTGCCTTAAAGGGAATTGCCGAGATCAAAAGCTATGTAAAATGCTAAGATTTTTGGTAGATATTTTCAAATTGCTTTTAAGAAAAGGTTGTACAGGGGTGCCTGAGTGGCTCAGTTAAGCGTCCGACTCTTGGCTGAAACCTCTTGGGAGATCAAGCCCTGCGGGGAGCTCAGTGGAGAGTCTGCTTCCCCTCTCCCCCTACCCCCTGTCCTACCCCCCACCCCCGCTCGCTCGCTCTCTCTTAAACAAATAAGCCTTGAACAAAGAAGAGAAAAGGTTGTAAAAATTTCCCTTCCCATTGGCCTAGTAGTGAGTAGAAAAAAATATATATTTATCTTCTTAAAGCCTTTATTACTCCACTTTCTATTCTGGATCTTGGGGAACCTTGGAGTTTAAGCAACATGCATCTTCCCCCTCTTACTGCCGTGACCACGTCAGCTGCATATATACAGCCTCCTGAGTAGATTTTGCTTGCTCCATGCCTTCAGCTGATTTCAAGTTCATTTAGGGTGGTAACACTTTTGGAAAGCAACAGGGTAAAGTGGAAAGAACATGGACTTTGGAGTTAGACATACCAATTTCTAGATCTCAGCCCTGCTAACTTATCAGTTACGCTTCATTAGGCAAATCACTGTCTTATCTATAAAGCAGGAGTATTATTACCTCCTTTATTGTAGGCAGTAAGTTCATGTGAGAATGTCGACCACATGATGCTTGGTACATAGAGTAGGTGCTCAAAAAATGTTCCTTCTCCCTTTTTATTTCCCACACAGTGCTTGGTCCAGTGCTGTGCACGCACCAGGTACCTATAAATATAGCAGATGCTTGTTGTATGAGTAAAAGTAGCCCAGACAGGCTTCAGAGTGCCTGAGAGTTGCCTGAGCAAATGGGCTGTTGCTTGGGCCCAGTGGCCCAGCAGCCTAAACCGGAACAGTAGACTCCAAGTGCCTGAAATATTCCCGGAATCCACATGTCTCAGTCTGTGTTCTATATCTCTCGAGTTCCATGATCAAAATGAATAAGTAGGAATTTGAGGAAAATTCATTTCTCAGGAGGCCTCTCTCCAAGCTTCATATAGCAACAAACAAGTTCCAAAGTAAGCTCGTGTGGAGCTCTATTCTCTGATCGGTGGATTGGTCAGAATTCTCTGCTACAGTGGGCTCTCTCTAGGAAGTGATTATCTCCCCAGTCTTCCCTGTAAAGTGGTAACATCAATCACACACTCGGTCCTCAGGTAGCAGAAACCAGGGTTGTGCCCCTGGCCCCACAGTCTCTCTCTGTAGCTAAGCGTGATCATTTCCTGGTGTGCTGTTTCTGTGAATCCTATATCTTAATTACAACTTCTTTTGCACATTTTTTTTCTTGTTGTTTATATAGGAGCAATCGTGTGCAATCCCACCTAAACAAAAAGCACAAAAGGAAAACTTCTAAGTAGGGAGGGGTAAATTTTAAATGTCAAATGCAAAGTTTACCTGGAGAAGTTGGAATTTTATTCCTACTGATGGCTTTTCATGATGTTTGTTCCTCTAGAGCAGGCTACTTTTTGTTACCTTTTTTGAAAGAGAACTTTGCTTGATTACTGTATATTTCATTAGCTTCACCCTGAGAAACAAGACTTACCTTGGATTAAAACACAGTAAGTGCTTTGGTTCCCTTTTTTTTTTTTTTTAAACAAGCATCTAGGAAACAGCCTGGTGCTGTAGTGCTCGGGCTTTAGAGAGACTTGGGTTGTCTCCACTCTGTCATTTACCAGCTGTGTAACTTTGGGCAAGTTACCTAACCTCGTTAAGCTTTTTTACTTTCCTCATCTACAAGATTGCTGTGAGAACCCAATGAGCTCATGTGTGAAAAGTAAATGAGATGATGTATGCAGAGTGCCAGGCAAAGGGACCTGCATATGGTGGGTCCTAATGTCCATGTCTTGGGCCATTCAGGTTACAGCTCAAACCTTAAGTCATCTGGGATGGGTGGTGGCAAGCATCAACCCATCTGAGGCAGTGACTGGACAGAGTCACTGCTAATTACATTTTGCAAATTTTTTTTTTTAATAGTAAAATCAATGTCAACTTTCATTGTTCCCCAGTACTTTAAATTGTTTCCTTATGTCATTAAGCTGACTTAAACTTAAAATCACAAATCTACTTTACTTTTGCTAATACTTCTTTTAACTTGACCAGTGGAGTCATAACTGGCTAACGTATTAAAGCAAATCAGATCTTTTCACATATATTCCAAATGTGGATGTGTACTGACATGGCCAGCGGTGATCAAGAGGGGTTAGCTCCACGCTCCATCTTGACAACAAGAAAAAAAATCTGCAAAAGAAGTTGTAATTAAGATATAGGATTCACAGAACTTGAAGTCCCATGCTCCATCTTGCTTCGGAGTTGCTTTATAGCCAGTAACAGGGCCCATCACCACCTCCTTTTATGGTTGTCTTCTGTTAGATAATTATTTGTTAACTTTTTGAGATGTTGAAATATAAAATGCTGCCAACTTGGAAAACAATAGCCATTACTGTGGAAGAGCTTCATGGCAATGGGAGGAAGGGGGCATCAGGCTCCCTTCCCAGATGACCGTGTTTATCCAGAGCATTCTGCTCCAAGGGTTGCTGCGGAGCTGGGGAGAAGACAATGAAGTATAGACATTAACAGCATCTGTCAGTTTGGGCCTCACCCTATGAGCTCATTTAAGCTCACCTAGGATGCTCACTGTTTGGATGGGTCAACTCTCTAAAATCAGATGGGAATAGAAGCCTTTTGAATAAGATAGAAAGATAATGAGAAAACATTACACATAACCAAAGCATTCGAATATAAAGTCAATAGAACTTTCCACTGTTACTCCATTGTTTCTGATTCTCCCCAGTAAAAACTTAAAGACCTTTTTCTATCTGACACTTTGTTGTGGAATCTTGCGTAAGACTTAACTGTCTCTGGGCCTTGGATTTCTTATCTCTAAAATGAAGGTGGAAGTCCCTTCCTGCTTACACATACCTAAGCTTTTAAAATATAAATATCTGCTGATTTGACGAAACATTAGGACAAAATATAGAGTCACTCAAGCTTCGCAGGCGCTGGGGAGTCATCCATGCACAATAGGATTCTTTTAAACCAGTTCCTACAGTATTGAATTTTTCCTTTCCCCAAGAGCTCTATAAAAAAATGGTGTTTTCTTGCCAGAGACATCAAGGCCTCAGAACTACTGCCCTTCTTCTATGAACATATTATATGGTTTGTGTTTGGCTTCAGATCTTTTTAACAGACAGCCCAGCTCCAGTCTGAGAGGCTGACTCAACAGAACTCCTCCGGCACATTCCTGGTCTTTTCGGGATTAAAGTGCCCATTTGCTGCCAGCTTCCGGGCAGGCTGGGAGCTGACTCTGCCTCTCTTGTCCTTATGTATCCAAGGCAGGAGAAGCACCGCAGCATTGCTTCATTCCCTGTTTTACTGTAGACGTTTTCCAGAGCATTTCTCCCATTTCTCTGATGGTTAGAGCTTGAGCCAAGCAGGTCTCTCATTTGTGTTCATGGCCTGGTCAGGGACCACTCGGGTCCTGTCGGTGGTGCTTGTCTGCCCCGAGCCTGCCATACACGCAGTCCCTGCCCTTCTTTCCTGCCCTCTTCCTCGTGCTGCTGTCTTACCCCCTGATCCGCCCCCTCATAATTGCCAGGGATCTTCTTTTCTTTCCCTTGATGGAAACCCCAACAGAATCTCAAAGGTTTTAGGAGTAAGGTTTGAATGTTTTATTATGGAAAACTTCAATTGGGTGCAAAAGTAGAGAAAACAGTATAACAAGCCCAAGATAAAATGGCGACTGTGAGAGCAAGCTCTAGCCTCATTGCCGCTCCACCTGTCCCTTACCCGGGAACCCGTCAGACTGTCCTCCTGTGAGGGATCTAAAGGCTTCTCTTCCCCTGTCTCCATTTTCAGATGCAGTGGCAGAATGTGGAGCACGTTGGTGACCAGAGCCCTTATGTCACCTCTGTCATTCTTCACATTAAGCAGAATGTCCCTATTATCCGTGACAACCTGGCTTCCACACGGAAATATTTCACTCAGTTCTGCATTAAATTTGCAAAGTAAGTCCTGGAACAACAACAACCTCCTCCTCCCTTTCCTCCTCCTTCCTCCTCCTCCTTCTTCCTTCCTTTTTTTTTTTTTGTTTTTTTGTTTTTTAAGTAGGCTCCACGACCAACCTGGAGCCCAACACAGGGCTTGAACTCACAACCCTGAGATCAAGACCTGAGCTGAGATCAAGAGTCAGATGCTTAACTGATTGAGCCCTCTCCCCCGCCCCCACCCCACGCGCCCCTGGAACATTCTCATCACTTGGTTATTTTGAATGCCATACTTACGACCAGCATGCTCCCAATCCAGGTGTCCCACTATCCAGCTGGGGCTTATTCTGGTGCCTGTAGGTGAACTAATATGTTTCTACCCCAAAGAAGCATAATAAAACTAAATCCACTACTTAAAGTCACAAACAGCAGTAACAGCATGAAGACAAACTCAGAAATGAGTTGGGAAAACAGTTACTTTGAATTATGTGAACATAACAGTGCCCCTGCCTCCCCACAGGTTTGGATAATTAAAATTATTTTTCAGTGATTTCATGTATATATTTTGTCTTTCCAACTACATTATAAGCTTTTTTAGGGTAAGAACCCTCAGTTCTGTTTCTTTTAAGTCTTCTCTTTCTCCTTCCTCATAGTACTCATTACTGGGGCTGCCAGAATGTATCTGCTTCTGGACATCCTTGAGTCCAGGGAAGGTACTAGAAACTGGTCAGAGCAAGGCTGGGGGTCCCATTGCCAAAGGACATGAAGTGAACGCTTGCATTGCATGTCTTCCTGCTACGTCCTCGTGTGTGGCCATTTCTGGCTTGACGTTTGGAAGTAGGGAAATAAATGGTTTGGTCCTTTGCCAGTCAGCATCTGGCTGTAGCACCGTTTCCCCTGAGGCCAGGCAAGTAGAGGGTCAGTGCCTCCTCTGACCAACGAGCAAACAAGCGTTTTGGCACACACATCTCAAGGAAGGGCTTCAGGAAGGTCAGCCTATCCCAAGCTACTGTATTTAGGTTGTCCTCATCCGAGTCCCAAGGGGGGATTTAGGGCTCCAAGTTTCTGTCTTCCCCAAATCTCTCCCGGTTTGTATTCAATTAAGGCTCTCTCTCTCCCTCATAAATAAATCCCTAAGGAACAGCAATTAATGGAGGGGCTTGTGGCATTAGCTTCAGTTTCTAGTTTGTCAGAAAAGGGTCGAGTAGACTCTCCAGGGAGGCGTTAATGTTTGCAATATGGCACATGAACCAGGAGTTGACGTTCCCTTCACTCTCTGAGTGCTCATCAGTGTGTGTTAAAGGCATTGCTGATAAATCACATTGTGACACACCCATACCCTCGGTAGAAACAATGTCTCTTTAAAATTTTACTATGGCCAAAAATCTCTGGTGTGGTTGCACAGGGGTCAGACTGAGCTAACGTTAAAGTGAGTAAAGGGTCCATTGGCTTCGCTAGTCCCGGCATCAGCCTCACAATCTCTCGGAGCCCTTTAATTTTATTACTAAGCTCACTTTGGGTGAGCTAGGAACAGGATGCCCATCTCTCACATCTGGAAAAGTTTAACCTCCAATAGAAAAAGTGGTTTTCTGATTTAATCCATGGTACCCTCTCCTCCTTGTAAAATCCTAGCCAAGAGTAGAAACCTCAGAGGTAGCGCTGTGGGAAGATCCTTCCCCGGCAAGAGCAAGAGCCACCACCACCCCACACAGCTGGGGCAGCCCCGGCCACACCCCATGAGCTCCCCATCCCATTGCCAGGACTTCTCCCCTCGCCCTCCCCGTGACATGTTTCTGGTCCCTGTATTTTCCTCACCTACTCTTGCAGGCTAGCACACAGAGCCGATTCCAGGGTACAACCAAAGCCTACTCTGGAGAGAAGTAACTAAGGTTATACGCTGTGTGTACCGTTGCGATTAGTCATGAATTCAGTCTCACGTTACTTGTTTGGCCTGGCTCTGGTTTCGAGCCCTGAAGAATCCCTTCTACATGGTCCCTCTTCTCCCTCCTGATCAGCAAACCTCCCCCTAGATCTGATCTCTGGAGTTTAGGTTGCTTTCTCTTTAACTTCCTTTCTTATCTCATCAGTGCAAAGCCATGCATGTTTCCTTTTGCCTACATTTGGTCTCTGAAGCAACAGCAGTCTTTCCTCTTTAGACATCAAGATCACCCCTCAATTAAAACTGCTATTTGAGGGACACTCAGTTGAGCGTCCAACTCTTGGTTGCAACTCAGGTCATGATCTCAGGGTTGTGTGACTGAGCCACTTCCTCTGCCCCTCCCCCCCTCAAATAAATAAGTAAATCTTAAAAAATGAAAAAACTACTATTTGAACCATAAGCAGCTTCCCTCATCCACTAAGCTGGGTCTCTTCCATTCAGTAATGGGGGCAATAAGACAAATCTCTTAATAGTGGTTTAGAGGATAAAATGTGTAAACTTCTGGTAAATTGCTGGTACCAAGCTAACATTCAAAAAGTGGTAGCTGCTACCATTTTAATTTGTTATTATTTATTATTTATTCAGCATGCAGCCATTTGAGCACCTGCTATGTCCCAGACAGAGAATTAAGTGGTTTGGCTTAGTAGATATGGTCCCTGTTTTCATTGCCTTACAGTCAGGTGGAGGGAAATAAACATGTAAGCAAATAAGTATAGTAAAGAGGGTTATATGCTAGGCTAGAGGTCTGTGGGCTCTATGTAGAGTATGGTGCAGGTGAATGAGGAAAGGTTTCATAAGGAGAGAGATCCAGGTGCCTGGGTGGCTCAGTTGGTTAAGCGACTGCCTTCGGCTCAGGTCATGATCCTGGAATCCTAGGATCGAGTCCCACATCGGGCTCCCTGCTCAGCAGGGAGTCTGCTTCTCCCTCTGCCCTCTTCCCTCTCATGCTCTCTGTCTCTCATTCTCTCTCTCAAATAAATAAATAAATAAGATCTTTAAAAAAAAAAATAAGGAGAGAGATCCTTGAGCAGGGTACAAGAGATGTATGTGTACTGACCCACAAGACCACAGGGAAGGGCATTCTGGGCACAGAGAGCAGTGTAAGCAAACGCACAGAGGCATTAAGTAGGCTGCAGAATCAAGCATAGGGTGCCACAGCTTAGCATGGTAAGGCTAGGGACAGAGAATCAAGACAATCAAGGAAGGCCTTGTCTGCAGCCATTACAAGAATTTTAATCAGGGAAGGGTCTTGAGCATGTTTGCATCTGCAACAAATCCCTTCAGCAGCTGATGGTTAGCAAAGATGAGGCTGAAGGCAGCAAGACCAGTTAGGAAAGAATTGAAAGAGCTCAAGTGAGAAGGGTAAGGGCAGCAGTGGTGGGCATGGTCAGGAGGCCGAGGAAGGGAGTGCAGGCGAAGGGCTGGAAACTGAGTGCTATTGGGGTGGACGGCCGAGGGAGCAGTTTCGAGGAACTCGTGGTTTCTGGCTTGGATGACTGGGTGGATGAGCTCGGGTCCACTGGGCCTGGGTTCCAGGGTGGGGCTGAGTCCCAGATACGCTGGAATTGAGGTGCCAGTGCCATTCCAGTGAGGTGACCAGTACTCCATGGGGTATTTGAGCAGGCACAGATGTGTAGAGAGATCGGAGAGGGGGAGGCATGGCCCTGAGAGCAGCTTTTGCAGAGTGGGAGAGGAGGGAGCTAGCCAGCCTTTATCTTGACCTCCACACCCTGTTTTATTATCCCTCCTCCCTTGGTCATGGGCCCTATGTTCTCCTCATCAGTCCACCCTGGGTCTGGCCTTGGTTATAGGCATTTCTCATCCCCACACCTTCCATTCTGCACCTGTACAATAGCTTTCCCTACTCAAGCCCCACAGTTTTTTCTAAAAAGCCCTCCTGCCCTATTAAAATTCCTTCTCCCTTTCCCCAAACCAGCTTGCCCTTCAGTCCCCAGTAAATTTTTCAGAGATCATATATTTTTTCCCTTGTTCTGAGAGTTACTCCCTTTGCAATTATTTCCTGTCTTTGCATTTAACATCCTATAACTATCTCACTATCTTGTCTGTTAGGGTGTTTTCAGATGCTAGTAATAGAAGCCGTGACTTAAACTCACTTAAACATAAGATGAACTTTGTATTTCGTATAACCAGAAGGTCAGAGGTAGGACACATCCAAAGATGGTTGATTCAGTGGTTCAGCAATGTCACTAAGGACCCAAGTTCCTTACTCTACCCTGCTCTCCTTGGGGCTGGCTTCATCCTTAAAATGGTGACAAAGTGGCTCTAGGTGTTCTGTCCAAATGTAAGAATACCCTGAAGAAGGAGAGAAAGACTTCCCCCAGCCATGCAATGAAGTCCATTCCTCTGGTCTGATTGGCTGGCTTAGATCATGTCCCCACCTCAGGACCAGCAACAGTCAACAAGGGAATGCCATGTTCTGACTGGCTGAGGCTAATTAGAATTCACCTCTGCAGTTTAGGAGGGATCAGCTTTTCCCCAGCATTCTAAAACCACATATACCTAAATAAAACCAGGGTTTGGGCTGGAAAGAAACAGAAGGCAGTGAATGCCAGGAGGCCACAGTAGCATCTACTTTGATTTCTGTTTTCTTGTGAAAGGAAGTAGGGCCTTTAAAAAAGTTTCTGGGGCGCCTGGGTGGCTCAGTCGGTTAAGTGTCTGCCTTTGGCTCAGGTCATGATCCTGCAGTCCTGGGATCGAGCCCCACATCAGGCTCCCTGCTCTGCGGGAGCCTGCTTCTCCCTCTGCCTCTCTCTCTCTCTCTCTCTCATGGATAAATAAATCTTAAAAAAGTTTCTGCAGTTCTTTACCAAAAAGAGAATAAGCCTGGGGCACCTGGGTGGCTCAGTCTGCTAAGCATCTGACTCTTGATTTCGGCTCAGGTCATGCTCTCAGGGTCATGAGATCGAGCCCCACGTCAGGCTCTGCGTTCAGCATGGAGTCTGCTTGTCCCTCTCCCTCTTCTCCTCACCCTCACTGGTACATGCTTTCTCTAAAATAAGTAAAATCTTAAGAGAGAGAGAGAGAAAATAAGCCTAATTTGTCCCTTTTTTTTTATTCACAGCTCCTTCATTCCCAAGTTCATCACCCACCTCTTCAAGTGCAAGCCAATTAGCATGGTGGGAGCAGAACAGGTGAGAAGAATCGGTACAGAGTCTTTTTCTTATGGCTTTTGTCTTAGGTCAAACACAAATCTTTCTAGTAGGGATTTACTCTGAAGAAATAAAATTGCCAATTTCCCGTTTGGGGACAGAAGGATGACCTGGCAGCTTAATTCATCCACTTATTTAAACCATTTTTGTTGAGCACCCGGCCGTTGTGCTGGACCCAGGCGTACCGCAGTGAACAAAACAGAAAAGCTCTTTCCTTCGTGGTGCTCACAGCCTAGTAAGAAGAGACAGATAAGATGTGAGTTAACAAATAAATGAGAAGATAGTTTTACCTTGAGTATGCTAAAGGGTATAAAACTAGGTTCTGTGAAAGAATATCTTAGGGGCATGAGGGAGTAATGGCTTTAGATTGGACACCCCGCAAAGGCTCCTCCGAGAGCTGGCGCTTGAGAAGAACTAGGAGTGAAAGGTCCAGGCAGAGGGAGCCGCAAAGGCTCTGATTATTTTGGATCCCGTAGTGGTTGGGCAGACACCACTTCAGAGTAGCAAGCAAAGAAAGGCTTCTCCTTTTGGTACTGAGACGCTGTTCACCTCACCCAAGAAGCCTTCCTTGATTAACCCCGCTCTGTTCACTTGAATTCTGTGCTTCAAGACCTCTCCTCACCGGCTGTATCCCCTCAGCACTGGTGAGTTGAGTTACATGCTGCAGCGGAGTCACCTCTTTTCAGCCACCACCTATCCAGACTGTCTGAAATCTGAGCAGCTTGAATTTGGAGAACAGTTTAAGCTACTTTAAAAACAAAAACAATAATTCAGCCCCTAATCGTTGACAAACACCTATTCAGATACAAGCTATTCATGTACTGATCATAAATGATTCTCATATATTCATTAAAATAAATCCTCTCTAGACTTCTGTGTAGCAACATTTAACCTGTTCCAGTTACATTTTATATTTGAAAGAACTCCCAACAACATTTTTAAGTAAGATAATATAATTCAAGACATTTCCGTAAGTCTTGCTCTTCCACCAAGTTAGTCGACTTGGTAGAGGCTCAGCTGTTTCCCAGCTCAGTGACTTGCCCTCACCCTGGGCCCTCAAGCGTTGCCGACCCAAGTCATGTCCCCGGAAGACGGCAAGTTGGCATGTGCCCAGTGCATCATGGATCTCTCGTGAAGTATCGAAGCCGGAGATGTAATAGCTGTGAACATCAGGAATCTCTTGAATCTGATATGTGCACTCTATTTTAATACTCTTTTTATACTCCTTTTGTACTTATACAAAAAGTTTTTATACTCTTTTTGTAAGGCCATCGCCTTTCTAGCTTATGAAAAAGCAGTATGGTGTGAGCATGAAGATCCTGGGGTGCAGAATCATGAAGGTGTGCAGCTAAATCCTCTCTCTGCAACACAGCAACTGCTTGTCCTTCGACAAACCTCCCAGCACGTTAGTGTCCTCATCTGGAAAATGGGGATGACGTGGTCCCACCTTGCAGGGCAGTTGTGAGGATTGAACAAGACCGTGCACGTCAAGTGCTTGATGCAGTGCCTGGCACATGTAAGCCCCTGGCAGATTCCAGCTCTTCCTAATTTTCGCTTTCTCAGACCAAGAATGTGCCTTTGTTTCTGCTTTCAGTACCTGCCTCACCTGGTAATGACATCTGGTTGCTACTTGCTGCAGGCTATCTGGCTGACCAGCTTTAAAAGCCAGAGTCAAAAGTATTGTCTCAGAAAGCTTCCTGGGAGGTTGCATGGATTCAGACAGACACTGACTGTAGAGTTTCAGTGTTTTGAAATTCTTGACTCTTCAATGTCATAAGCATAGAAGTAATTCTCTCCATTGGAGACAGCAGAATAATGCCTCAGCATGTCTCCAGTTTCATCAGTACCTGTTCACTGGGAATTCATTCTGTCCACCTCACTGTTGTGTATAATCAGAGAGGATGTGGAGTAATGACCTGTGTATCTAAGAGAAGCTTTAGAGTTACGAGTTACTAATGTTCTCTCTAGACTTGATGAAGCCACTGGAACATAAAGTTGGCTCGTTGGGAACATGTTTTCATGAGTTTGCAGCTTTGCCTGGGCCATACTAGCTGATTTAGTGTCTGATAACCATGATATTTTCATACTGTCGCATAAATCCAATATCATATCTATGTTCCTCAGATTTTCTCTTTTTCAAAAGAGTGTTAAAATAATCAGCTTGGAGTCGAAGCCCATATCTTCTGAAAAATAGCAGTTTGGCCAGTATTAACTTCTGCTTTGAGATGTGGATGAGAAAACCATCTGTGAAGCTGGGATTTTACTTTGTTCACAAGGCAAATGGGAGTGGGTGATAAGGGAGCCCATCCTGGAAGAGGGCACGGATGGGAACTGCAGGGCAAGGTGACCCTTGATGGATTCCCACATGAAGTTCAGGTGTAGCCAGGTCCACGCTTGCCCCGAGAATCTGAGCTGAGAAACTCAAGCAGTCCTATGGCTGGAGGCATGGTTTACTTGGGCAGCAGAACCGTAGGAATCAGGTAGTTAACAAAGACTGCAACAGATTCTGACTCAGGTCTTGTAGCAGTTCTAATCCAAGCTTTCACAAAAGCTGTGGAATTGAAAGCTAAGATTTAGCCTAATCTCAGCTGCCTTTGCTTTGCCACAAAGGCACTACTAGATCCTAAATTTAGATTATCTTCAATACTTGTGCCGAAAATAGGAAAGGAGACATCTTCCTGCTCTTTATTCTCTTCCTGATTACTACATAAAGTGAATTATTTATCTGTGGGCCCCAGAGTCCTCTTGAGCAATTGCAAGGGCACATGGAACTGAACCATACCGATATTCATAATGCTTCTTCCTAGATCGTGATCTTTCAGAGAATCTTACGGGATTTGCAGGGTCATTAATTAGTCTTATGGCGATGGTATCTGTGACTGAGCAGTCAATAGAAATAGAATCCATTTGCACAAAATTACCATAGAGAAAGCCCCACAATATGGTGTGGGAAAAAGGACCCTGAGACTTAAGGTCCAGTCCTTACTCTGCTGTTAATGGTCCCTGTGATCATGAGCCATTGCTTCCCCGCTCTAGGCTCAGTTTCCTCATGTTTAAATAAGAGCACTGAATCAGACTCTTACACGCCCCTTCCAGATCTATCATATTATGGAGTTTGAAATGTTTTGAGCTGTGAAGTTATTTTCTTTTCCTTTGTATTATCTTTATATACATATTGACCTTGTTTTTATTGTGGCAAAACATACATAACATAAAGTTGACCATTTTAACCATTTTTAAGTGTGCAGTAGTATTAAGTACTACTGTTGTGCAACCATCCACCTCCAGACCTTGTCATCTTCTTAAACTGAAACTCCATTCCCATTAAACAGTAACTTCCCTCCTGCCAACCACCATTCTGCTTCCTGTCCCTGTGAATATGACTGCTCTACGTACCTCATCTAAGTAGAATCATACAATATCTGTCCTTTTGTGTCTGGCTTATTTCACTTAGCATGTCTTCAGGGTTTATCCATGTTTCAAAATTTCCTTCCTTCTTACAGCTGAATAATATTCCATCATATATATATATATATGTGTGTATATATATATATATACACACACACACACACATTTTGACCATATTAACTTTTTAAAAATTCACATAATTCAAAACCACCTGGAAAAAATATTTAAAGCAAAATTTAGATTTTTTTCTTTTAAGCCCAAACACCAAGGAAAAGGAAAAAGAGAATCAGGTAGTACATGCATAATGGCAGTTGGAAAAAATGAGAAAATATTCTTGGGCACAGTTCTCAGTAAATCTCCAAAGTGTGGTAGAGTGTTTTTAAGCACTCCTTTAAAAAAAGCAAGTGGATCAATAACAATGTAATACCCATAAGCGATAGATTTAAAAACACCACCACCTCAGCAAAGTAGGAATAGAAGTAAGATGGTTGCACCTGATAAAGGTTTTATACAGAAACTTAGGAGAGGGTGTGCATTACAAGGCTAAACGCATTTGTCAGAATTATGCAATTCAGAATCGTACATTCCAATATATGTACATTTTACCTCAAAAAAATTAAGTGAGGGATACGGAGCATTGACAGCAGGGTTTTCATCCCCTGCACTGTTGACATTTCAGGCCAGGGAACCTTTCACTGTGGGGCTGTCCTGTGCATTGTGGGATGTTTACCAGCACCCCGCACCACTACCCACTAGCTGCCAGCAACACCCTCCCGATTTTGACAAGGGAAGATGTCTCCAGACATTGCCAAACATCCGAGCACGAGTGAAGGTGTAGCCAAACC